TTACCATTTGTAGTATGATGCGTGGGTGGATCAAAGGCACCGCCAGTGCTACAACTTCAATAACACGCATGGTAGGGAAATGTAGCACTATTGAAATATGTAGCAGGGTTGTTGTCAATTAGTTTGTTTTTTAATCATTACTATTTACAAAAAACTTCATTATATAATATTACCATTACAATTTATAAGTTATACCACCAATTATATTAACATTATAATTGAAACTACCTGAATTACCATTACCATTACTTTAGAAAGTGTACTACATTGCATTACAATTAGCACAAAATTGCAAGAAACTGAAAACTTTTGATTATAATAGTAATTTTATTTAAGAAAACTTAATGTTAATATACATGTAAAGTAGAGTTAACTTCAAAAGGAGTTTTTCAAATTTTTTGGTAATAAAAGAGCACATGCTAACTGTCACACTCTAGTTAGCAAGTTAACACTAAGAACCAGTGACTGATAGCAAGATACTCTTGCTGATAGTATAGTGATAACACCGTAACACAACACACCATCTTGCTTAATCCATGCAATTATCTATTACCATTACCATTACCTTATCTCTACTATTAATTACCATTTGTCATTGCCAATAGAACGAAATTAGCCATTACAATTACCATTACCATTACAGCTAAAAAGTAATATTACCTAATTAATTACCATTAGAACTATCATTGCAACAACCCTGATATGTAGTACTGCACCGTATAATATGTATGGGCTTTCCTATTGACCATAATTGCTACATTTTCCTCTCGACCGCCCCTCGTGCAATAATTTCCATAACCTACTCTCAACGGTGCTTTAACTAATACATACTGCTTGTAACATGATGATAGACAATGGTATGATTTCTTAATTGTCACTAATTACTGGTATTCTCAATGTTTGCATTCTTCCCTAATCCTATTTATCACACAAAGACAGCAAATATGTAAGAACGTAAACTGCTTTGAGGATATACACAATTATAGGAAATATGTGAGAAACAATCACAGTGTACATGTACATCAGGTATTGTAAAGAAAAGTGATGCAAGTTAAGTGATTTTCATACACTGTACATGTACAGTAATGGCCAATAAAAAGTACATGTACTTGTAAATTAAAATGTTTAATCATCAGTTGCCAGAGTTTGACTATAAACAAAAACAATGTATAGTCTGCTTAACTCTTTTTGATAGTTGACATTCATTATGTCTTCTCCATTCATATTGAATTATCCATTCATATTCATATTGCCTTTGTGACCATTTTAAGGTAAAGTACGTCAACTTGCAGAATTTAAATTTATCTCTGTGAAATTAAAAATTTTAAACATTTAATTCAAAATAAGAGGTTAGTTGGCTAAAAATAGTTGCAAATTTAACAAAAAATAATCGCAATAAGTACTAAAACACAATCATTAACTATCAACACAACAAAATTAAGAAAATATTGATTTTCCGTTTTATCACAAAATAGTAAAAAATTAACTGTCTTCAGCGAGAGGGTTAATCTGTACCCTGTTCTCCTCCTCTTCTCCCGACACCACCTCATACTTAACGAGGGGGACATGGTGGTCAGTCTCCTCCTTTGCCATATACTTGAGTCTCAGCTTACGAAATATAAAATACCCAACTGCTCCTAGTGTTACTATTAATAGTATTCCTATGGCTCCGCCCAGTACTGCTACTATACTGACTACTGGATTAGAGCCGGATTCAGTAGGTGTGGCAGTGGGTGTGGTCGTTGATTGATCTGTAGTACCAGGTATTTGACCTAAAATATAAAATAACTGGTATTAAGTACAGTCAGTGGTGGATCTAAGGGGGAGCCAAGGGGGCAATGCCCCCACAAAAATTTTTCTGGAGTAATGTAAACTCAAGTTTTACTTACAGGAGATTGGCTTGCAACAAGAGTTTTAGTTGATTTATTTTGTTAAGTGGGTGATTTATTATTGAGGATAGAAACAAAGTAGCTGGTTACTCCCTTATAAGGAAGGTGAGGAAGAGTTCCAATTTTACTCTTGTTACAAAGATAGTGCAATCTCCTATATATATAAACTGTGAAGGAGCTGCAGTACTTGACTATGTAAACAATCTTAAACCACAAAGGAGCTCATTTTAAGGATATTAGTAACATGCATTGTGGCAGTCCTGTCTACTTGAGTCAATAAAGAGACAAGATCAAGGACATCAGTAAACACATGGAGGGTTGCATAGGACACTGTAATACTCTAGCTTTATATGACGACATTAATAAGTAACATACTTGATGATGAGACACTGGTAGTTGCCAAACCACTTGTTGTTGATAACGTCACAGTTGCTATTATTTTTATACTTGTAGTTGATGATGGACTTTTTTGAGTGGGGGCTAATGAATTGGCTATAAATATTAATAAAATAATATTAATTAATAAATTTAATCATTAATAATTATTTACTTTGAGAAAACACAATTGGTTCACTCCAATCTCCAGGACCAACTTGAGTATAGGCACGTACCTATTTAATAATAATTAATAACAATTAATAATAATAATATTATTAATTGCTGACTCACAGATACATAAACAGGTTGTCCACTGGAGGGAAAGTCCCTAGTAATGTTGACCTGATAGACAGTGACATCACTAGGCACTGGAATATAACGACCACGACGAGAAGGATCGCTGAGGTCAGCATAAAAGACGACCTCATACATAGTGATGACACCATGAGCTGATGATGAGACATTCCATTCAACATACTGACCACCTGACAGGACCTTGACACCAACTACTGGCATCGGAACTATTAATAATAATAAAATAAAATAAATAAATAAATAAATGAATAAATATTATTATATTAAATTTTTTCTAAGTTTCCAACTACTGTATCTAGACAATGTATATTGATTTGATTCCTTATGCTCATCCTCTTAATAATAATAATAATAATAATAATAATAATAATAATAATAATAATAATAATAACAGTTTCTTCCTACCTCCTTCAGGAGTGGTAATTGCTATAAAGATAGACCTCTGAGTGCTTGAAGACTGATTGGAAACTCCATTTTCAGCGGATACAGTCACCAGGTAAGTGGTCAGTGGTGAGAGCCCAGTGAAGTTGTATGATGTAGCGTATAATGGCTGAGGGTTAGCTTTGACCCTAGTGGCATTGGCAGTGCTATAGTAATAGATATCATAATAGACATCAGTTCTACCACCAGTGCTGGCGGGGGTGCCCCAGCTAATTAGTGAGTAGGTGCTGGTGGTAACGTTCACTAATATACCAACAGGAGCTGAGGGAGGACCTGTTAATGATAATAATAATTAATAATATAATATAAATACATGTATGTATTAGAAAATTAAAAAAATGGAGAATTCTCTACTTTTCAATTTTAGCAAAATTTGGCTAAATTCTCTGTACTATAGTATAGGAACTTTGACCCAATTTTGGAGCAATTTTAAAAACTTATAAAAAATCCAAACTTGATCAGGACCAGCTCAAACTTTCTCTACAACTTAAGAACATGTATATACATCAGGAACTATAATAAAATACTTTTCACAGCTTCACATTGCCATACATACACTAATACATTACACTCTTACCAGTACATGGCATAGATGGTCCATCATTAGGTGCCCTATAGAAGCCACTGTCACACTGACAGACACTAGAGCCGTGTACTGTACTGTCTGAGTTGGGAGGACATGATGTACAGACTGTGTTTGATAGAGTGGACTTGTATGTTGATGGAGCACACGCTATAATGAGAGGAATGATGGAATCAATGATTAAAATGATATATTAAAATTTGGAGGTTATTTTATGCAGTAAGGATTGTAATTGGTACACTAGGTGCTGTCCGTTAAATGGAGGTGTACACTATAAAAAATTGCTAAGATTAAAGGTCTATTATCATCATCATCATCATCATCATCATTATTATTATTATTATTATTATTATTATTATTATTATTATTATTATTATGCTGTCCTTTTTGTTGCCATTGTTGTTATTATTATTATCATTATTGTTATTACCTTGACATTGATTAGTTCCTTCAATGAGCATCAGTTCATGTCCAGGTATGCACATACACACATCATCATAGCTCCAGCTGCCGTTGATATTCAAACTCAGTACAGGGAGGGACCCAGTACTGGTATTGGCATTAGCGACACAGAGTCCTGTTATATTAATGCAATCAGTTGTGGGGGCGGGGGTCTCAGGGAACAGGGTTAGACCAGACTGCATAGCGGGACCAATCAAACGATAGACGAATAGACGAGTTATGGTAATATTAGCACCTAATGATGGATACAGTACAGCATCAACTTGCATTATAAGATATACTGCCAGTGACACATTGAAATATCAGTGACACTATTAGTATTATAACACATTGAAATATCAGTGACACTATTAGTATTATAAAGCAGATACTTCTAACATTAGAATATTAACAATCGACACTGCTAATGAAAGAGCATTATGAACTGCTACTAATACTGCAGTTATATTAACATTTACTAGTATTGAATATTCGATAATGGCTCCACTACAATACATCATTATATTGTTCATACCTATATCTCTAATAGCAATATAAAACCCTGTATCTGCCGGACTCAAATTAAAAGAGAAAGTCTTCATGTGAAGTGTCACGTCATCCACAGAACTGACATTACTGATCAGTGAGTACCCAGGCCTGTGTGAAGCCAGTGAACTGTCACTAGCATTGGAGAGATGATAGAGCAACTGGAAATTAGGGATACAGTTCACACTAGCACAAGATGCGTCCAGTATGTAGCTTATGTTAATGAATATTGTGACTGGCTCATTGTTGTACTGCGAAGGTATGGACTTGTTGATGTATTGGGTTATGAGCCAGTTGTCCTGAGGAAGGTTCTGAGGTTCTGAAATACTGACTCTCTCTCGGCAGGTTTCAAGAGGAACTGGGGACCACTAGAAGAGGAGAAAGGAAATATATGCAATCCATTATTATCAGTTAGTAAGGTTCAGAGTGCAATAGTGTGTGATTATAATAATGTATGAATCAGCAAAATATTGGACAAACATGAGTAGCTATGGGTAGCTTAGTAAGCATTGAAGTATACAAGAAGTGCTGATTCATACACTTTCCATGAGAAATTGAGAATATTTCCCAAAACATAATTGACTCAAAAATCATCATAATCACTGATTGATGAACACATTGTGGTTGCTCTACTAGCCCCAACATTACAAGTGTGAACTTAACCACAAGAAATGAACTTAAAGTTTATACTAACCTCCAAATTGAGGTACATAGAAGGAACATCTCTCTCCCTCTTTCTCTGGCCCCTCTCTATTCCCAGTTGACTCATAACAGTCAATGATTGCTTATTATAACAGACACAACATGATACTAACAACATACTAATAAATCAACTGTTACAATAGCTATACAATTCCAACCCAATACTCAGCCTCCATCCCCTCCTATCATAATTCATAATCAGCTACCACCACAATAGAAGCCATCATTTCTCAGTCATTTCTCACCTCCACAATTGGGCTCATTAGCACTATATACAGCTAAAGGTGCTAATACAATACAATATACAATAAACACTAAAACAATAACAGGATCCATTACAAGCCCGGGTATATACGTACAGTTTTATTGTCATTATCAGCATCAATGGTGCTCCAGACTCCGCCGGGCCCCAGTAGTAGTCCGTAGCTCCAGGAGTCCATTAACCGTTTGACCGTTTGCGGGTAGTCCGGTAGAGCCGAGTTGGATAAGCAGTACCCGCCAGTGTCGCCAGGAGCAGATGAAAGGACTCCATTAGACAGGACTAGTAGCAGTGGGAAGGAGAGACGAAGAATGAACAAAGAAATTGACTCCATAGGCGAAGCTTTCTTTGCGCCGCAGTTTCAGCCCCACCCACAAGTTGATAATTAACTACGCCCACTGAGCCCACCTACTTACCGTATAATATGTAATTCTAAATAAAAGGATTTAGTGTAATATTGAATAATGAGGGGGCAGTTCCATACAAGTCATTGAATGAGAATTCCAATTGAAGGGCCAACAGTTTGAAGATCTTTTCTCCTCCTCTCCCTCTGTCTCTCTCTTCAACTCTCCTCCATACATGATAAGGTGAGTGTTCCTTCTTTGTATTATGGACCTGGTGAAATATTGATAACTTTAAGTTATTGTTTAATAATATTCATTTAGATTAATTTGAATTATATATATATAATCATAATGATATATTATATATAGTGTTTGAAAGTATCTCAGACCAATAGCTAATATCTTGTTCATGTATCAGTTATACTTATAGTTTAATCATACATGTACATCTGTACTTGTACATGTTTTTATATAAAGGTGTTATTGTATAGAAACAGGAATCACACCATGTCTTCCAGTATATTATGGTATTATTAATTCATTTATTTAGTTACACTGTACATGTACTTATTCTTGTGTGTGTGTGTTCATGATTCATCAGTGACTGTGTGTCATTATTATGTTAACTTGACCACAACTATGATTGGAATGTGTGTTTGTATCTTTTACTATTCTTATACACAAACTCTCCCTCTTTCCCCTCTCTCTCTCTCTCTCTCTCTCTCTCTCTCTCACTTTAGGATGAGTTGGACCAGATTGCTAATTATAAATATTATTATTTTATTATCATTTCAATCGCTAATAGTTAATGGTAAGTGTATTATTCATTAAAGCCACCAATATTAATTATTTATTTATATTTATTTATTTCATTTATTTAGGTCAAGTTGAGTTTGCAGTAGCTCCTTCTAATATCACTGTTAATGAGACAGATGGAGCATCTTTTGTTTTATTGTTATCTTCCGAAGACCTCATGATGTCAAATGATGACATCATAACTATTAATATAATAACTAGTGGAGGGGCATTAAATGGAACTGGTTAGTAAGACACTTAATGATTGACTGTACTAATTATTAGTCAGAATACATGTACATTTGGTTTGGTGTGGCATTTTTAAGACCCTAATTTAAAATTATACAGACTAGCCTTGCTATAATGGACACTGTGTCTCTGTTATACAGAGGTGTCCTTTATGTGGAGGTTATTTTATACAGTAAGGAATGTAATTGGTACACTAGGTGCTGTCCGTTAAATGGAGGTGTACGCTATAACAAAATTAATACTAAAATTAATGGAGCTAAACTCCCATAATAATAATAATAACAATACTATAATAATGATAATTATTATTATTTCTTTCTTTTATTTCTAGATTATCTGATACCATCATCCCTCACCATCAATACCACTGATCCTACTGTGACAGTATTCAATATAACAGTCTCCATTATTAATGACAATATCACCGAATATGATGAGTCAGCAGTTATAATGTTTGAATCTCCAAATGTGACATTCACTCCGTCAAATGTGTCGTTTACCATATTAGGTATGTGACCACACCCACTATCTGTTGAAAAAAACCATGGGCTATAGCCTTGGGTATTTTCCAGAATTTTGGCGTTTTCTTAAAATGGCCGTAATTTGAAAAATTGAAGTCCAAATCACCTCAAAATTTCTAGACAGCATAAGGACATCAATATGTATCAGAAAATGTAATAAAAATTTGGGGTGATTTCGGAGCCATTTTTTGGAAAAAACCATGGGCTATAGCCTTGAGTATTTTTCAGAATTTTGACGTTTTTTTTAAATGGCCGTAACTTGAAAAATTTAAGTCGGAATCAGCTCAAAATTTCTACACAGCATAAGGACATCAATATGTATCAGAAAATGTAATAAAAATGCCAAGTTCTCACCTTCTTATTTTTGGTGAAATTTGGCCTGAGACCATGTACTGTAGTACTGGGACTTTGGCCTGATTTTAGAGCAACTTTATGCATGCCATGTGTACATGTACATTGTAATTATTATTTATTAATTTATTTATAGAGAATGATGCTATTGCTGTATTCATTAATAACACTGATATGACACTAAATGAAGGAGATGAGATCATTCTGTGTGCTAGTACCGATGGACCCCACTCTACATCATTTAATGTAACAGCTACTGCTAGCAGCACTGATGGTAAGTACCTATACTATTATCATTATTAATATTATCATGTATCTTATAGATATTAATCCTTCAACTGATATTTTATTATTTGAACCTGGCGACACTATGAAATGTACCTCATTTATGATTATTGATAATGATATGCCTGAGGGGGAGGAGTCTGTCACTATTGGGTGGAGCCTGTCACCGGCCACACCCAATGTGATACTAATGGACCCCATCACATCAACCATCACCATACCTTGTAAGTTTAGTCTTTTCTGTACAGTATAGCCTCTCTTAATGGACACTCTCTATAGTGTACACCTCCATTTAACGGACAGCACCTAGTGTACCAATTACATTCCTTACTGTATAAAATAACCTCCACATAAAGGACACCTCTGTATAACAGAGACACTTTCAAAGTGTCCATTATATAGAGGCTAGCCTGTACAGGTATACATGACTGTTTCTCTTCCTCCTATAGCTCAGTTAATAGTATCAGTGTTAAATGATTCTATGATATCAGTGGCTGAAGGATCAGTTGTTAAGATATGTTTGATGATGAATGGAATGAGCGGAGTCATTGGTGTTAATGTTAGCTATTTTATTTTTGGAGATGCAGATGGTGAGTTAATCGATAATTACCGTATGGTGGGGAATTTTGGAGGAAGTTAAATTTGGTAAATTGCTAAATTTTGGTTGTAATTTGGTGAATTTGTGGCCATGTGCCATTGAGCATGCATATAATGCCTCAAAATGATTGATTTTGTATTTTTATGTTTTTTATTTTAGATTATTCTGGTCTAGCATCATCAGGAAATATTATTATCACTACTGATTTATCCTGCATCACAATAAATATTACAAATGATAGTGTCATTGAGAATAATGAATCAATAAGTGTTCAGTTTCAATCAGTAACTGGAGCTACGCTGTCTTCTACTAATAATACAATAGAGATCAATATAATGGATAATACTGGTTAGTATCAGTGTTAATACATCAGTGTTAGTATCAGTGTTAATGTATCAGTGTTAGTATCAGTCTTAATGTATCAGTGTTATTGCTAATATTTCATTTATGTAGCTGTATCAGTGTCAATCGATTCTTCAGTAACAGTATATGACAATTCCTCATCAGTTGAATTATGTGCAACATTAAGTAATGATAATATAACCTTTAATGGAGTTAGTCCGACACTTTCAGCCACTCCTGGAGGAAATGCTACCTTAGGTAGTCCATGTAGTAACATTATTAGTATGTAGTTTTTATTTATTTATTATTGTACATGTACTGTAGATGTGGATTATAGCTTTGCTTCAATGGATATCATTCCAAATGTTCCTGGTTGTGGATCAGTATTAATATTGAATAATGGCACTGTTAGGGGGAATAGACTACTGACTATCAACTGGACAATAATGGCTTCACCTCAAATCAGTGGTGACAGGATCAGTCTTGATACTGCATTAACTGATATCAATATCATTGATACTGATTGTAAGTGTTAGCGTGTTGGTAACACCTTAATATATTCACCTGTAACTTTAATTGTCACTGACTTTATGATCAAATTTTGTAAAATAATAACTTTCATGCATCTTTCATTTATTGTTATTATCATTTTATTTATTTATTCATTTATTTTCAGATGCTACTATTGGTTTTGCTGATACTTCAATAACTGTACCTGAAAGTGTTGGGTCTGTTAGTGTATTCTTATCTAATATAAGTGGAGAGATATCAGTTCCTTTTAATGTGTCTATTACTGCTGAGAGACCACATAGACAAGGTTAGTCTATTATTATTGTTGTTATTATTATTATTATTGTCGTTGTTGTCGTTTTTAATAGAAGGACTGTTCATTTTTTCTGATAATTATAATGATTTTAGTTGGTCGTTGTCACGGCAACCAATAGTCGTGAATATTAATGATAATAATATCATTAATGAAGGGAACAGAACATTGACCCTATCATTAAAAATAGTGGACAGCAACAATTTAAACATTAACATTCAGAATGGAAGAATTACCATAACAGTCACTGAAGATGGTAAGTACATGCATATACAGTATAACCTCCTCCTATTGTGGACACTCTAAAATAAGGACACCTCTATAATGAGGTGGGATAGTATCATTCCCAATACAATACATGTAGTAATGTGTATTAATGAACCACTGAAATAAGGACAGGTTCATAATCAGGAGCTAGGGTATTATTGGGTCCCAAGGTCTCCGGAATAGACCTGTTTTATTGCATACTGTGGTAGAGGTTTTGTTGGATTATTAACTAAGTCATCCAGTCGCGACGTTAATGATAAATTATTAAATACAATTTGACAGTTTTTGTAACTTTTCTATACCAGAAGAATCTCCATTGTAGTATAAGTAATTTATTAAGCTACTCTTTAAGCAATCTGATTGGTTAATTACAGCTATTATGGTAGATAATAATTTTATTTTTAGATTTTCCGTCTCCTTCATCAACTTCAATGCCCGTGCCCACATCCACAGAAACCCCCTCAGAATCTTCCGCTCCAACTGGTTTCTTCAACACAATAACAATAGTTGGTATTATAGTGGGTGTGGTCGTACTGGGGCTCCTCCTACTCCTACTGCTAGTGTGTGTCATTGCTTGTATCAAGGTAAGGAGCAATCGTCAGGGTTTCTATGCAACGCAAGAGGACAAGGAAGAGGCTCCTCAAATGCTTCGATACTCAGCCTCTTTAAGATCCCTACAGTCTCAGACTGTAATGCCGGTAGACTCCAGAGATAAAGAGAATGAATATCTGGTTTAAAGAGATTAACTAACATTATTATTATTATTATTATTATTATTATTATTATTATTATTATTAATAGTATACGACATTTTCTGGTGTTTTTTTGACCATTACTATCTTTCTTGTTTGTCTTTTTAATCTTTTTTTAAATTTATGAAAGCACAATGATTATCTACTTAATTAAATACTGATACATTATTAATTATGCTATGTTATAATTGTTAGTAAATACATATACACTCATTTTTGTGTGATTTTAAAACAACTATACTTATTATTATAATTTCCGTGCAACAGATGTTTGGATTAACATTTTGCTATTAGTAAACTGATAATTGACTGTAAAATGTTCTGTGTGTTAGTACATACTGTATTACCATATACTGCTTGTAACATGATGATAGATAATGGTATGATTTCTTAATTGTCACTAATTACTGGTATTCTCAATGTTTGCATTCTTCAACACTACTTCATCATGTACTCCTAAAGTATATTCATGTCCACCTACCACCAGCAGTATATAGTAATACAGCTTATCTGTTTCAATAGGATCTTTCTTTTTATATAGTACCAGTTGTACTGTCTCTTAGTTGATTTTATAATCAAAACCTACTCTCTCCCTTTCTCTTCCTTTCCTTGTCTCGCATTTATTTGTTTAATTATTGACAATAATCCATGACAAAAAATTAATGGATAATAACAACTATATCTCTAGTCTTTACTGTTAACATTGACTACCAGTAATTCACTACTGAAAAATAATTTAATCACAAAAACAATAATAAAACACAATAAGAAGGAATGTCATTAGTTATTACAAGAAGCTGGTACATCCTCTCCATTGATCCTCATAGCTTCACATGCCAACTGAACAAGTCTGGCCTTACAAGAATAGCAGACAGAACTGCAAGGATCTAAAAGATATACAAGTTATATGGAACAGTTGATACATGTACTATAGTCATACCTGGTGGTATAGCATTCACTGAAAATATATATGTCCCTGGTATGTTGCTATTAAGCATCATAGCAGGGGCATTGGTTACAGTGGTACCAAATGGAAAGAAAGAAGGATCAGCTAGTACACTATTATCATCAACATATGAACCTATTCCAGTAGTAGCTGATGCAATGCTCACATTGACATAAAGTGCAATACCAAATGTATTGTTTCCATTATTAGCAACAATTAATTGGAAGTTACTGCCCTAAAAATAATAAATAAAGTGATTAGAGTGTAGCTAGCTATTATTAACAGTATTTCATGTATTAAGTAATTAATATACTAACTGGGTTTGAGCCAGTTTTTAGATAATCTATCCAAGTTACTATTATTAATTGTGTA